TTCTTTAAAAATGATTTTCTCTATATATTTGATAATATTTATCGTTTTTAATTTGAAAACTGTAAACAAAAATTAATCCCCGTATAAATATATGAACTGTATTCATCTTTACACCTTTACTATTATTATTAACTACATTTTTTTTGTGTCCACCAGTAACCACTCTGAACTTATTAAATGGTACTATTACTTAAGAGTCAATGATGAAATTTACTATTAGTGGATGGAGAGTATTATTGTCCTTGTATTTGATTTTTAAAACATGAAAAAATATAGGGTGGGTTTGATAATGGTGAAGTGGGCCCAGCTAAAAAAACAAGAGACGTGGACCAATGAAAAGAGGTAAGAAGACTCTTTTGGTGTCTGACATCTTCGCAAACAACAAAAAGTCGGACAATAATGATCGTCCACGTTACTGCGACGCTTAACGGCTGAGATGTAATGAGCTTCGTATGTGTCTAATGGTGGTTGGTTCGTTTCTTGTTTATCGTTGGGTGATAATGTGATTGAGTGACACGTGCTTTTCCTCTGACAACTACTTTTTCTTTTTCAAGTTTTATTATCAGAGGACTAAAGAAGTAAGTGAACCGATCACAAATAAAAAAAAAATCAGTGATTTATTGTTGGGATTTTGTCATTTTGAGGAGCGTTTTCAGTTCACAGGTGAATAAACTATTAGCTGAATATTTAACAAATATAATGATACAATACACCCAATTTTTTTTTTTTTTATGTCATATGGTTGTATCAAAGAAACATAGAGACCAATTACAAGCAATAAAATAGAGAACCTGAATCATTATGTCCTAACAAGAGATATAAAAGAAAGAGCCAAAAAATACAACAAACCGCTTGAGAGGAGACCAAAGAGCCTAAACTAAACATCGAGCCACAGAACCGCACCGAATACCAACTTTCCACAGAGCTATTTGATTCCCCTACCACGCCAAGGAATAAGAGAAGGATGGGCAACAACCAAAAACACTCTACTAGGACGGAGAAGAATATACCAAAATTTTTAAGATAGATCATATTGGTGTTATTGAATAATAAAAAAAATGATATTGAGCTTCTTTTTTTTAATGTGTAAGATCGCTGACTAGTTTAAACAAAACAATTACAAACATTTAAACAGTTGTATAGAAGATGTTTTGAAATAAGGTGGTTAAAAACAATGGTTAGAGAAGGCGTTTCAATAACAAATAACGATTTAATATTAAATTTGATTAGTAGCATTATAGCGGTTGAATAATATAATTAAATAAAATTAATTTTGTTTAAATGATTTTTTAAAAATATATTGCATTGAAAATTATTTTGAAAAAAACAATATGAATTATCAATAAACAAATATTTACAATTAATTATTTTCAATGCTAAGCAACTATTTTTCTTACTGTGATAACAAAAATTAAATAACCATCTATGATAAGTCC